AAACTCAGTTAATGGGGCTCATTCACTGGCGCTTCCACAAACAACAACCAACATAATTATTACATTCAAATGAAGTACATTATTCAAGTTTACATTAACTTTGGATAATAACACGGGAGAAATTAGCGGAAGCCTCTCTCTCTCTCTCTCTCTCTCTCTCTCTCTCTGTGTGTCTCCCTCTCCTGACAGCCTGTCAGTATCGTCTCATGCAGCTCACTGATCCAGTAATGAATGACCCGACAGTGAAGAATAAACATATGTATAACTAGTTTAGCTAGTTCCAGAGATAGATAAAATAGCTAAGTGTGTTCGGTCTAACTCTTAGTGTGTGTTTTGCTCACCGGTCCGTCACAGCGGGCGGAGCTGCAGGATTTCTGCTTCACGTTGCATACCGCTATTTTACTGTCTTTTTCGGACACCTTAAAATACTGCCAGACCGGTGAAGCCATTTTGGCGAGCTTGTTTTGCCGCGCACAGAGAAAAGTGTCATGTATTTTTACGTCATGCGATCGGCTCTCCCGATCGGCCTTTATAGAGAGCACAAATCAATCGGCAGAGAGTGAATATCGGCCGATATCGATCGGCGGCCGATCGGAGCATCCCTCATTGTGACCTTAGAGGATATCACCAAAACAATGAGATTATTATGAGGACTTTGAGCAGGTGTAAGGGTTACAAAGCAGGGCAATTCAAAGTCAGTCAAAGTCAACTTTATTGTCAATCTTTCAGTTTGTGTGTACAGACAGAGAGAGATAGAAATACCGTTTCCCGAAATCCCGAATATAAAAATGCAAATACGTATAAAATATGTATATCCTATATCCTTCTCCGTAGGGAGTATACAGGAGCAGGTATGGAAAATGTGTCACATGGCCTGATGCAGCTGAGGTTTCAGACTGACCTGCGAAGCCGGGGCTATTTTGAGTCCGGCAGCTACTCCGTTGTGGAAGCTGGGCCAGCTGGTCATGTTGGGAGGAACATCAATGTTCCCGCTGTTCAGATCCACCATGGTGTTCCTAGGAGGGGCTCGGCCTGGGGTAGAAAATTAGAAATATACAGTACAATCTCGAAAATAAACTAAAAACCGACATGATTAAAACTTCTAGGTACTTCATGACAAGCAAAAACACTCTTACATATTCCTATTTAGCTATCAATGAGCTGATATAACCTGAAATGCTTATTTTCACAGTCTTCCTGTTAATGTGCATAGTAAATGATTATCACATTACCCGTGAGGTTGAGTTTTGGGACAGGTAAAGGTTCGGTCAGTACAGGGTGATAAGAGAAGAGGGTGAAGAGGCCTCGGCCAACAGGAAGAGCCATGGTCCTCTGACACAACTGCAGGAGTCTGGGGGAAGATACAAAGACGTGGACAAAAAGAGAGTCAGATAATATACAGTATATAATCGACAGGAGGCATATTTGACCCTTTCTCTATATAAAGCCTCCAGAGAAGGAGAGGACAGCACTTATACATGGAATAAAGTCAAGTCAGTGGAGGAATATATTTAAGAAAGACAGACTGACAACAGGGTGACCAAAATATCAAGGAACAGAAAGAGAGAAAAAGGGGACAGGAAAATATTTTATATATGTCCTTGGAAATTACTGTGTTGCTGTCTTTGAACATCTACAGTTTGTTCCAAGACCACATGCTTTAAAAGGTCCCCTATTATACTTTTTTTCATCAATATATTATAGGTCTCAGATATATACAAAACATGTCTCTGATTGGCTGAAACACCAAACAGATCATTGCAGCATCCCATAATCCCCTCTGTTTCAGCCCTGTTTCCAAAGTGCTGATTCTCTGTCTGTTACTTTAGATGAAAATAAGGAGCCCCTCCCCACGCCCCTCTGAGAGATATTTGGTTAGAAAGAACACAATGGTGCTCTAGGAGGAGATTCAGGTGATAAGGTGTGGTGGTGGGGGGGGGGGCGTGTTACCTTGGTTGGTGATTGGCTAATGGTTACACAAGACAAAAAATCGTTATGACATCATAAAGTGGCCAAAATTTGATCAGCTCATTTTCAGTCAGGTTTTTATAGAAATGGATCAGGACAAAAAGAGAGAGAATATTTGTTCCTGAAACTTTCAGAATCTCTTTACACAGAGGGGACACATGGTGATGTATACAAGACAGGAAAAAGTGGACTTTTCATAATAGGTGACCTTCAAGGACACACACACAGACATAATACTCACTTGTTCTCTTTCTCCTCTATGTACTCGTGATCAGAGACCTCTGGTAGCTGAACGACACTGACTCGGACCGGCCTGGAGCTCTGCAGCAGCCTCCTCACCTCCTGGACCCTCAGATCCTGACTCCAGATCAGCCCTGTGACCTGCAGGGGAGAACATACCAAATCAGACTCTCATGTTTGTTGTACCACCTTAAGATCAACAATAAACCTGATTCAGATAATGGCTAGAATGAAGACAGACCAACGATGCAAGAGATTAATATGAACTGTGTGTGTGTTTACCTCTTGAATAATGTCCGACATCCCGTCTTCCTCCTCGTCTACTTCTGTGGTCGCAGGAGGCTCCAAGGAGAGACCTGAGCCAACCGACTGCAAATACACACAATACGATTAATATATATTTACAAAAGGGCTGTCATAATATTAGACTTTCCCTACAAAATATATGGTAGACAAAATAATTAACTTTAACAATATTATCGCAAATAAATACCACTCGAAATACAAGTATAGGGAGATAGAAATTAGGGTCTGTGACCATAACGTCTGAACCTATGGATTAAGACACAATGAATATTTTACCCAATGTGCAATATTAACATGATATCAATATTTTGTTTTTTAAATATCACAGTGACCTTCAATACTGGGATATCACGAACATCCTAATAAAAATAAAGCAACAATGGAAGCTAGTAAAATATGTACGGACTGATTTTTCATCTCAACAACCTTACTGATTTAAAGATGTACTGTTAATTAATTTATAGGAAAGAAGATATTATTTCTGAATCCTCTGTTGTCTGACAAATGTCGTTTTTAGGCAATCAGACTTCCTTTAGCGATGTTAAAACAAAAAAGTTTTAGACGTAGTAATGCTGTAACATATTTCAGCCACTAGGGGGGGGGCCCCCCCTTTTTTTCACCCAACTCATTAGACTATTCTTCTGCTGGCGTTTCATTATTGTTTTCTGTCAAATTCAATACTGTAGTTCAAAACCGCGGTACCCGCTCACCATCTGTGAGCTATTTTTAGAATGCGCACGCTACGTTCGTTGTCGCGTTTGCGCGCGTCCACCTGGGCAGGCTGTGTGTGTCCTTCTCCCGTGACGATAACGGCTTGAGGTTAAAATATAATAATAAACAAATTTGAAACTGGGGGGGACACACAAACGGGCAGACAGCAGATCTCGGGGCAATAATGCAGATTTGTTTGACTTTTTATACACTTTGTTGTTCTCCTCCTGTCCTCCACTCTTATCTCTGATTGTGAGTGTGTGCATTTGTGTGTGTGTGTGTGTGTGTGTGTGTGTGTGTGTGTGTGTGTGTGTGTGTGTGTGTGTGTGTGTGTGTGTGTGTGTGTGTGTGTGTGTG